GATTGAATGAATAGATCAAAGTTGAAACTGCTATTTATGACAGTTTTAGTTACAACTGAATCTAACAACTAACTGGCTCAGGACTTGTCACGTGTTCTAGAGCTACTAACTACCCTTAATCTTCCCATTTAAGTGATCTTATCGTAGCCTGGATGCATGGTCCTGCATCAATAAGTTAGCTTTACCTAGCACTTACAAGATTCATCCAGTTTTCCATTGTTCTCTTCTTAAACCGCACAAGGGTCCACTTCTGACTCTCAGTGACCCTCTCCCTGCTTTATCCTATGATCATCATCCTTTGTGGTCACTCCTATGGCCATATTACAGTCTAAATGGGATCAATCCACATCTCCCCCCACACCCCACAGGCCTGGTACTTGTTCAGTGGATGGGATTCGATATAAGAGTGGAAGTTAGTTTGAATACAGAAGATGACAGCAAGTTCAGAAGAACAATTGTCAAGCCCATTTGCTATAGAGATTGAAGATTCTTATTTAGAATAGAAATTTGCTTTTCTGTTAGCATTTTGTTATTGCATCATTTTGTTATTTGCATCTTTTGTATTACAGATTTCTCTTGCTATATGTGACAAACAAAGTAATAAATGGGGAAGGAAGAGAAATTTTAGTTTATTTGTTTTGTTTGGAGGGACCTTAACCTCAACTCAAGGAATTTTAGTGTGTTCCTATCACAGTAGCAATCGAAGTAGAACAAGGAGCACAACATAGGCACCCACAAACTAGCAAAACAAGATGAAAATAAAAATACGGCACAAGCACGTCAATAAAGGAATAGAAACTTGAGACAATAAAGGCGTAATAATTTTTTGAAAGCGAATTTAGGGTTTTTGAGGGCACAACCACGCAACAATAGCAGGACACTCACAGCAACATGACAAAAAGAAGCTGCAAAACAAGGTGGTTGAGCATAATGGCAGCGCAAAAGAGAGAAGGAAAGAGAGTTTCAGACTAAGCCAGGCTTTTAAACATGGTGGGATTGACAGTGCCTTTCGATTTTACGAGTTTGAATGATAGTCCCACACGAGTTCACTAATTTCCAATTCTATATGGAAGGTAGCACGCTATAAGGGTTCAGGATTGTTGAATTGTGCAATTCTACATGTTAGCTCATTGCTATGCATAGTAGGATCATTGACTTTAGCATAAGCATGTTCACTGTATTTTTAACACATGAAAATGAAAGGAGCAAATATGTACATGTCTTAAAATTCAACATGAAATCATAGTTAAAGTGTAACAATCTAGTATATATATATATATATATATAAAAGTCTTTTTATATTCTAATTTAGTAGATTAATATCTTAATTCTTAATTTTATTTCAGTTTAATTTTTTTATTTAGATCTCTTAATTTATAAAAGTGTTTTAAATAAGTGTTATTTTGTCAAATGAAAAATTACTATTTATCTTCTTTTTTATTATAAACTCCGGTGGATATAGACTCTTTTTAAATTCTGACACAAAATTTCTATTTTTTTTCTCTTAATCTTCATCTATGTTTACACAATTAGTTTTCTACCCTCTTTTTGAACTTCAACAAAATGTTCTCTTTCTTTTTCTTTTTTTTTAATTTTTCGGCTGTGTTTTGGGGTTGTATGAATTTCTATAAGATTTTTGTAGGAACTTAAGGAAAGGAGAAATAAGTTGCAAAAGTATGAATGAAAGATAAGAGAAGGAGGAGGAGGAAAAATAGGGAAAAAAAAGAGAATCCTTTGGTAAAGATTTTTATTTGAGTTCAAATGAGGAGGAAAATGAGTCAAATAGTGCTGGATAAGAGATAAAAAGAAAAAAATGAAAGAAAAAAAAATTAGACAATAAAAATATTTGCTGAAAAAATACACTATTAAAATTTAAAGGGGAAAGAAGATGAATAATAATTTTTTTAAAAGAGTTAATATTTTTTTATAAAATAATACTTATTCAAAACACTTTTGTAAGTTAAAAAATTAAAATAAGAAAAAAAAAGGATTAAGTCAAAATAAAAAAAGTTAAAGAGCTAATCTTCTAATTTTGCCGTTTTTTTATGTTGTTACAACGCAATTTTTCACTATTGACATGCATAGAAGAGGAAAGTTATTTTGACTGTACTATTTTCAAGTAAATACAATCAAAAGTCCCTATATTTAGACAAATTGTTTAACCTCGAAGAAAACTATGGTCTGATTATTTTATTTAGGTCACATTTAACTTGTCATTGAATGTTATTACAACTTACTTTATGGTGAAATACAATTGAATTTCTTTCTTCACATGGATTAATTGCAATTAATACTTAATTTCTTCAACTTATGAAAACTTCTATAAGAATTATGATAAAATTGTTATCATTTGAGCAAGACGAGTGCAAGACATTTGACAGTCATATGCTCTACATATTAACATGAGTTCGAAAATTGATTTACTTATGAAAAAAGTATATATTAACATTCCATGACATTCTTCAAAGCAATTACCCTAATTAATTATGAAAAATATAATACTTATTTTATTCTTACAATTTTTTCTCTAGTCTTTGTTGGCTGCTTCTTCATGTTATTTTTTATTATGGTATAATTGTGGGCAAGACTTTTTCTTCTCATTCCATTATGGATTCTCTCACTACAATGTCTATAAAATTGGACATACCAATAATTGTATTATAGTACGGTGATTAAAGAGTGTGAATCAACATTCTAATTACTTCCCTTTTAGATAATAAGAGTTTCACTTGAGTAGTTGATTCTTTCCGGTATTGAGCATATTCCTTGACAATCTTTCTTTATTACTTATATTTTGCAGTTGCATTTTGTTAACGTTAGAAGCTATTTTAATATTGTATTTAATCTAATTCAAATACATTGGAGAATTTTAGTTAATTTTATAGAGAATCTCTATGCAAGACAATGAAGTTTATTCTAATTCAGTGATCCCAATTTCATAGTTTGAGTATGAAGTAGATAAACATAATTTTTAGTATAAGGGAGGAGAATTGAATAAATTACAGTTCTAATATTTTTGTTAAGTACATTTTTTGTAAACTTTGTTTAAGTTTGTGTTTGTTTATTCATTTATAAAACAATAAAATATTTTACTATATTTTTATTTAGTTTTGTGCATAACATGGTACTTTTCATTACTATTAGCAAAATTAGAAAATCAAAGAAGGATTGATAGTTTTTTCCAATTCTTGTGGGAGCTATACAAATCTTTATACATGAGAGCCACCAATTCTCTCGTAGGAAACCTTGTAATAAACAAGACACCGTGATACAATCCAAAAGCTTAAACCAATGAATGCATGAATCTATTTCCTTATAGATCCCTAATTTATTCATATTTAATTCCACGTGAACTCAATTTACACTTATTCCAATAAAAGATTTCTAGTTGAATCAATTTACGCTAAAATTCCAAAATGCAAGCTAGCAAAATAATCAGGAAATTGTTTTACTTCAAATATTGAATGCACAAAATTTTTAATTTTTATTTAAGTTTCCCTTTCTAATAAATTAAAATTTGTCTTGCCAGACCAAGAAAAATTGTACCAATATATCCTTAAGATTGTTGTCCTCGATCTTTATGGATCTATTCCCGGTGTGTGCCAATTTTCTAGAATTTAAAAAATTTCTTTGGAATAAACAAAGGTTCATCAATTCGTAAAAATTGAATTATTATTAATTCAATCATAAAAACAAAGTAAGAAAATACAAAAGGAGAAAAGGAAAAAGGTCACAGAGAGAAAAAAAGATAGAATAAGAAAGATAGTTTATGATTTATTTCTTTGTTAAAAGTATTCATCGAGAAAGAGTAATAGTTTGTTAAAGTAGATAAATATTTATTAAATTAAAATATTTATCAAAATAATGTCCTAACAAACTTAAAAATAAATAATTAAAATTAATTTAACTCCAATAAACTTCTAAAATACATAAAAATAAAATATCCAACATATGTCACATGTTGATCCCTTCTTTCAAGTTAGCCATGTGCAAGGCCTGTTTTTCTCCATTTTTACTGTCCAGTTTAATTTGATCTTTTGAACATATAGACGATGAGCCGTACATACAACATTGGTAGGCAATAGAGAATTTTTCTTTCCTTTCTTCTTGTAGCAAAAATGCAGGTGCTATTAAAAAAAATTAATCATTATTTTTGCAAAAGACATATAATTTTTTTATTTTCTATTTCAATTAACATTATTATCTCTAGATTTATTTTTCTTAGATTTAGAATTAAGCAAAAATAATTAGTCAATTAGTCAAATATTATTGATATTGTTTGATATTATACAATTTAATATTTACATATTCTTATATTTAACAATGTTAAGAGTTTAGCTCCATATTTTAATAAACATGAATTAAATGTCAAACTTATTTATATTTATTGGGGACTTACTTGCTTTAATTTTAATTTTATTTAATAAAACGATTGACAAAAGAAGGATTAAGATGAAATTGAGTGTTCACAAGATATTTTAAAAATCGTGATATGAATGCTTTAATAATGTTTTGATAAATTTTTTCTATTTTTTATTTATTAATTGACCAATATAATTTCTTTCAACCAAACTCAACTTTCTTTTTTACTTCTCTTTAAAAGTAAAAACTCCTCAAAATAACACTTATAAAAGCTCATTTTCTTTTTATTTCCTTTTATTAATAAAACTAATTTTTATTTTTAAGACGTCTCTAGAATTGCGTTTTATTTTAACTTTTTTAAATAGAAGTAGATAAATAAATAAAACACTACTTGAGTGTTGTAATCTAAAAATAATAACGACAGAAGAAAAAATGACACGTCTCAAATTGAACTCAAATTATTTTCAATGACCTTCCTCTTGATCATTAATATTTCTTTCTATTTGAGATCACTTTTCTTGGTGACTTTCCCTCGCACAAATTGAACTCGAGCATGGTTTTACTAAATGTATTTGGACGAGGGATGAAGAGAAAAAAAAAATAAAAAAGAAAAATAAAGTGAAAAAGAAATTAGATGAATAAAAAAAATCCTTCGATTATTTGGGTAAAAGGTAAAGAAAAATAAACAATCTAATCCTATTCCCTGCCCTCTTAATTTTCTTCCCCTCAAACCAATACATCCTAGAGACAAAAGTGTATAAGTGGTTAGATCATATAACAAATGAATTATTCATTCAAATATTAATTTATCAGCAGAGAAACGTAAATATGAAGATACAACTAATAGGTACAGAGAAAAGTCAAGTCCTTACATGAATACTGCTCCTTTAGAATAGTTATTTTCTTCTATGACAGTGAGTTCCTAGTACACTGTCGTTTCAGAAATTGCACGAGTTTGGGGGAGATATGACATCACAAAACTACCTACTGGTCACACTTCCACTGGAATTTCTTCTCTCATTTGTGTTCCCTTATGCTAGACTAATTTAGTAATAAAAGAGATCACATCTCAGCAATCAATTTTTCTTCATAAGCTCTAGATTCAGCAAGGGTTCCCTGAGTCCACTTCTTCAGCATCTCTAATGCAGCCTTGGGCTGGTCCATTGGAACCATGTGACCCGCATCATGGACCTGTTTTGTCACACATGATATTAAACTGAATAAACATTTTCCACAAACTACGGGCAAAAAACGCCACGGGCAAAGCCAAACAGGACTTTGGTAAATAAATAGTGTCTATTTCTGGACAACACTAAATTTAGCTGTTAGCACCGCACAAGAACAAGTTTACATTTGACCTTGGCATAAAAGTGTGCAATTAGCCCGCACAGTGTAGATATTTATGTGTCAGTCGTCCTTAATTTTAACATTTAGTCCAAATCATTAACAGAAAAAGCAAAGATTATTTTTCTTCCTTTGTCACCCGTGATGGTTTGTATTTTTAAAATCAGGGTAATTAGAACTGCTCAGTATAGTCAGATGGAGAGTAATGTTGGCGGTAATCTAAAGTTAACCTTATTTGCTACCTAGATGGCTTATTCAAAATGCCATAACAGTTTGCACGGCATAATAAAGTGTCTATTTGTGTAAGTTTGTGAAAGAGAAAAAGACACCTTAAGGAAACTTAGAGGTCCATAGCTCTTCAATAATCCGGCTTCTGATCCATTAACAACAAAAGGAACTTCAGGTGAGGCCACAAATTCTTTCTGACCAGACCATTCCATGGCATGAACCCATCTTGAATTACCTACTCATTGAAATCATGCCACCAAAAAATATCCATCAATTCATTCATTGAAGGGTAATAAATATGAAATATTAAAATTTTCAACAGATCTAAAATACATTTAAGAGTAAATACATACCAAGCCAGTTGCAGATGAGATCATATTCCCCAGCATAAACAAGCAAATTGATTCCATCCTCAAGAAGGGCGGGAATACCAACTTCAAGATTCCTCATCCAATCCACCAACATAGCCAGATAAACTTCAGTGCTACAAGAAACAAAATGGATTTTTCCAACCCCCAGTGAATCCCGAACAGATTTTTGGTTGAGGAACTTCTCCATGTTTGAAAAATCATAGCAAAGGCTCCCCTCACACTTTTTTCTAATATCATAGTACTGCAGCATAAGTATAAAACTGCTGGTAAAAATCATCAATATACCCATATATTGCTTCAAGATTGCAATCACCAAAAATATCAAGACATGAGTTTCTTTTGACCTATCAGCAGCATAAACGGCTTTGTTAACATATACTATATGAAATTTCTCAATTAAAATATCGTTAACTAAGAAACAGTTAAAGTTGCCTATGAAATAGACTTTAGGTTTGGAAAATGGTTAATTACCTACATGCTTACTTGTAGTTAGGGGAATGCTTCGTCAATTTAACCATGTTCCAAAACTTGGTAAGCAGATTCCTTATACCTCTCCACATGATATATGGTATTTTGGTATCTCTTTTTCCAAAAGAAATAATGCCTGAATAGTATTTCTTTACCCTATTACAAATACTATAAAACAGTGCCCAATAAGTTATTTGAAAAATAAAATTTCTGGAAAACAAGAGCAAGTTATCAGGTATCAACAATTTTAGACAATGAAATTTCTTGCGCTCCTCACTGAATAACTAAACTTTAAGTTGAATGGTTCGGTCACAAGGTATCAAAGCTTATCTGAACAAATGGAACAGATGATATTGATCCCCATTGGCCTCTTTCAATTTGATTTACAGCTAAAGGTAGCAAGAAAGCAGTATTATGACCATACTTCATGCTCAATAAACTTTTATATAAGCCATCAATCCCAAGTCAAATACATAAAGTACTACTGATACGTCAACCATACAAAAGAATTTGTTTACCCACATTTGCGTTTCCAGCATGTAACATGATGTCACTGAATATGAGATTACAAACTACATATGCAGTTGCACAGGCAATCTTTCCGTCAGTGCCTGAAAGGATCAAACCAAATATTAAGGTACAGTTAACAGAAGGCAACCAGAAGGCTGCAAACACGAGCATTGTTTTTTAGTGAAAATCAGGTAATGATTCTTGACCTTTGTTTTTCGGGCTCCAACAAGAATGATCACTTGATCAAGATAATAAAATCACTTAAATGATACACTCACTGGAAATCAACAAACTACTACTCTCATTACATACATATATATCTTAAGTGAAGGTAAATCTGATTAAACTTTCAAATAATTAAGAAAGAACACAAGTAATAGTAATTCATATTTTACAATAATCATGTCATTATACACACAGACACACACACACACACATGCATCTTACATATATAATATGACAAAGTCTGAAAAATCAGACTTTCTAACTAAATACACATGCACATACATAGAAAGTGTTAGAACCAAAGACATCTGATGGCCCCAAAAATCTTAATGCTATCATAACTTTAAAGATTAAGTGAAATTTACTGTGTATTTTATCAGAATCAGATGGTACTTGAAGCTAACTGCAACGAATTCTTATAATAGTTTGAAGTTTCAAACTATATGCTCTCTAAGGGATTGTTTAAAGTCATGGTTTCCTTAAAGAATGTACTACTTCGTCTAAAGTCCAATCCTGGATATAAGGGAAGTGTGTTAAGATGTCTCATATCAACTAGGAATATGACTAGAATACTCCTTTTGAGGCTTGGGCAATCCTCCTCCCATTAACTAGTTTATAGAAGTTAGGCCCAGTTCAGATTGCTTGCCCAAATTTATCATATATGAACCCAGGACGTGTAAATATCATGGGTAAAATGTCATGAGCCAACTCAGATGGTACTTTTCACAAATCAAGTGAATATTTTTTCCATCACTTAAAATCAAGTTTAATACTGGAAATGAGCTGGAGGGTTGAGCTCAAGCTTTAATAATCAATCAAACAAGTTCAAACATTTGGTTGTTAAGTTATACTATAGAAAAGAGATATAGAGTATGAGTGAATGTTGTGTCAATGAGTACACACACATATATTATTTATAATCTTTGTTAGGGTACAAAAGAATCAAGGCAATCCCTAAAATACAGTAATTGAATCTCTAAAATCGAGAACATGCTAATTACACTTATTCACATGTGGTGTATATAATATGACATTGTCTAACACTCTTGAATCCATCATAGCCATCATTTCAAACATACAATGACATGACAAGAAACATAACATTTGCTGAAAGTAAAAATGCCAAATGTTTATTACCACATAGCTTTATTGCCAATTCACAGGCTGGAACCAATACTTTGTCAAGGCGGTCATGTGTAGCCTTCTTAATGATGCCCATTTCTAGTGCATAATCTGGGTAAGCTTTATACTGAATTGCAGGGTTAGTAAGCCCATTACCAATGGCCAATCCCTGTTCAAACAAATAAAAAAAGATAAGCTGGTATTCTTTTCCTTCAATACAATTCTATCATATAGAAAGGTACAATGGTTCATCATGTAATGTAACGAACCTTCAGGTTTATATGAATTCCATCTTTAGCTTGGTTTCCCCGGTGGATACGAGTGGCAAAAGCAGGAATATAATGTCCAGCATATGACTCACCTGTAATAAAAAAGTCATTCTTTGCATATTCGGGATGCTCTGCAAAGAAGGCCTGAGGAAAAAAGAAAATAACTGTTAAGACAATATTTAGTCTTAAATTATTTTTACTATGTTTCTACATGAGAATTACTCTCACTACTCTGTCTTGTAACATAAACATACAAACCTGCCCCAAAATTTGGGCATGAATCCCAAATTCTTTATTTAACTAGATAACTTTTTCCTAAATCCTTTTCTCTGTCCTATTAAATTTGTTTCTTTTGTCTTAGCTATGATGACCTGATAGATGTCAGGCCTGTAATTTATTATTAAGTGATCTATAATGTTTTGTATTTGTTAAATGTTAATTAAAGGATTATTTAGTATTAAAATAGATTTAGATGAAGTTTGATATTATATATAAAAAAAAAAAAGAAAAAAAGAGGTGAATAGTAAAGTCAGCATAAACAGTAAAATCAGCGTAAATAATAAAGTTGACGTAAACAGTACTTTAAAAAAAAATTCAAAATTTTGCCTATAAATAGGGGGTCTTGCAAGAAATTTTCATTTTTACATTTCTTAAAGGTTCTAGAGAGATCCAAGGGCATATACCACCATTTTCTCTCATACTAAACCCTCCTAAACTTATATTTCTCACCAGATCTGATATTTTACGTCTGTTCTGAAAGATCTGAAGTAAGTTTCTATAAGTTTGAAGTTAAATTTACCGTTCGTTTTTCTTATTCTTCTCTTTCTTATAAATAGTTGATGAAATCTTAGGAGAAACTTTGTTGTAGAGCTATATCTTTGGTGGATCTTGCCTTAAAACACGTAATATTCGGTACATTTGGTGTGAATCGCTGTTCTAAAATAAAGAGAGCTTACTTTAACTATTAAACAATGTTTGAAACTATTTGGTATACTATTACAAGGGGTTTAAGATAATTTTGTCAGATCTCTCGAATAAAAGCTATTTTCTGTTTTGCATCATATTGAGATATATGTCTTGCTTCATTATAAAACCGAATTACACATTTAGGTGGGTAGACATGTAATAATAGAGCATGCTGTATTGTTTGGATCCAGATACCAAAATAGGTCACTTCGAGACCGACTCGATTCTTTCTAGATTACTTAGATTGTGAAACCAGTTGGAACCGTTTTCATGCTGTGCATTAGGTGGGCTAAGAATGCATGTGACTATTGCTACGAGTAATATTTTGCTATATATATATATGATTTTATTTTTTAAATAATAACAAACTCCATCTAAATCTATTCCAATACCAAATAATCTTTTAATTAACATTTAACAAGTACAAAACATTACATATCACTCAATAATAAATTACAGGTTTGACAATTCTCTCCCTAAAAATAAATTTTTGTCCTAAAAAAAGATGAGGATACAACTCTCTGATTTTACCTTTAAGCTCCTTAACCCTAGTATCCTTAATACGAGCAGCTGGAACTTCAACATATAAATTATCTAATATCTCTACAACATCTGACTCGATTACATGAGACAGATCAGGAATATAATTCCTCAACTGTGATACATGGAAAACGTTATGTAACCTTGCCAACTGAGGTGGTAAAGCTAGCTCATAAGCTACTAGTCCTCTGCGATGCAATATTTGATATGGCCTAATGAACTTAGTAGTCAGCTTCTTTGCCTTCAATGCTCCTCCCATACCTGTAGTACGTGACATTTTTAGGAATACATGATCTCCAATTTCAAATTCCAATAGCCTCTTGCGTCGGTCAGCATAAGACTTCTATGATCAAAGAGTCATCAATCTACCACGTCTCAACATCTATTTAAATAGCTGACATTTTCACTAAATCCTTGAGATATCAGCAACACAATTTTCTACTTGGCAAATTGATGCTTGTAGATTTACCAGCATCAATTTGAGGGGGGATGTTAATGGAATTAATGGAAAAGAGGATTGTATAGGATTGATTGCACAATTATTTGTAACAGTTATTCTCTTATTTAAGATAATTAGCTGTAAATGTATATATGATAGTTTAGCTGATTTATTGGACTGAAATCAACGTGACAGCTTGTAATTTAAGTGTATTTATATGAGCAATCTGAATGAGGAGGGTACAGAGTTTTTTGCCAAACCTTTTCTTAGTTAAAAAAAACCATGAAAAATTGTGCCTTGCTCCTCAATCTGATTCCACAAATATGTGTGGACAGATTGACATCAACATAGAGAATCTACAACATTTACGCACATTGTAATGATTTGAACTGAGTTAGATTCACCTAAAGGCAATTTGGGATCAGCACTTTGATTGTGTTTGGTGGTTGAATCTAAACTAGGAGAGTCACTCCCCTTAGTGCCATTAAAGCCTGAGGAAATGTCACATCTTGACAGCAAATTACTAGGGCCAGCAAAGCAGTGTTTGCCCTAATACCAATTTGAATCATGCATGTTTTTGTGATTGATTTCAAATGTACATAGGTCTCCCCTTACTTGAGAAACAGAATAAAAGGAAAATAATAGGCAAATAATTAGGGAGAAAAATCTTGGTAAACAAATCCCTACAAATTAAGAAACTATCAATTGATTATTCTAACTAGGTATTAGGTAAACTAACAAGCTAATTATGTAACCTACTAAAAACAAAATATTTAAGATATATACAAGGTGATAACCACAGTTGGTTAAAATATTTAGTAAATAACTCCATTAAAAATGGACTAGGCCTAACTCACTCCCAACAGTTAGATCAAAGGTGACCATTGCTTAAGCCTTTGCAAGCTCTACTTTAACCATATCTATAGTCAATGTGGGATCTCAACACATTATGCCCAGGACAAAATATCTAGACTGTGGACAATGTAGGACTGATGCTTTTTTTAGACCAAGTAGATTGCACTGAGAAATCCACAGATCAAGTTCATTTTTGGGACAGTTGAGGATTACCCAAAATTATTAATAGTGGGCTATAGCAATGCTATGGTAGAATAGTGGAGTGGCCATAGGCTGTTACAAAATTTGAATAGCAAAGAGTTTCTAAATAGCAACCGTAGCACCACTATAGCAGCACTAGCTGGAACTTTTCAAAATAAATTCATTTTTGCCCATTTTGGGGGATTTTTTACTTTTATTGTTATCTATTTGTATGTTTTGGTTAAAAGTTATGACTTTTGATTTTTAATTATGAATATGTCACGGATTTTGATTTTATTTTTTGCATTTTATATATTGTATAAATTATTTAATTTGCATAAAAATTTTCTAAATAGCAGTAATCTTGCAATGTGCCGTCTCGCTATAATAACATTTTTGGCATTAGGCACTACATGGCATTATTCAAGATTGATAATTTTGGAATTACCCAATATCAAATCTATGATAGGCTCTAATATCATATTAAAATCAAACAGGGCTTAACTTACCCTTAGAAGCTTGCTCAAGAGGTGAGAATTTTTCAAGCTTTTTGTAAGCTTGATTTTAGCCATATCTATAGTTGATGCAGGATCTCAACAAACTCAATCAACATTATATTTGTTGTAACAAAATTGGTTATGATTAATCTCAACTATCCAACTTTAGGGCGGCGTTAAAATGGTATTTTAGTATTTCTTTAATAGACGTTATACTCATAATACTATCCTATAACCTCTGTTGAGCATGACTTCCCAAACTTCTTTTCTCTAATAGAAACTTTAAGGAATTCATACCAAATTTAACACAAAAGTAAGAGATAAATGTTAATATAAAGGAATCTAGAATTGCAACATCCGCTATAAAAATAATAAATGGCAGGTAATAGATGAACATGCTAATAAAATTTGTAACTAATATTCAGATTTCAGAGCAAACACAAGTACCTGCATGAAGTCATACAAGTCATTGCTGACACCCTCTTCATTATGTCGAATGTCACGCAAATCAGTACTGTAGCTAAAGCCAGTTCCAGTTGGTTGGTCAACATACAAAAGATTTGATGCCTACAAAGTTACCAACAAATTTTACCTCCCATAAATAATTCTCACAGCAAAAGTACATAACAGAAAGCAGTTGTCGAGGTTATAGCAATTAGTTTATCAAGCTTATTTCTTTCCTCATAAAAACATTTGCAGTTAGACAACTCAATGTCAAAACATATTGAACTGGATGGACAAATTTCATCTAAACTATAAGCTAATGAAATTGGTTTGCTTCAATAAGACACTTGAACCCCATCTCATGCCTTTCTTGAAGGCGTTAAGTATCATAAACAGCAAGTGGTTGCTTCTTCTCGGATTTATTTGTAGCTAAAATTACGTTTGTACTATACAGATGGAAAATCTTCAAAAAGCTTGTCCTTGAAGACAAAGAAACCCCATTATCAGCATTAACATGACATCAAATAACAACGTAACTATGAGTGATTTCATTTTCTCTTACCAAAAATTCTAATATAAAGATTCGCTATAGTAACAAGTAATAGGTAAATCAGTTCAATGTTTCAAAACCAATATCTCCAGGTAATGAGGGGAGGTTGCACATTTAATAATTCTTCAAGGATTAACAACCAAAAAGCCAAAAAACTAATGGGATAAAGTAGCTTATTACTTCAACAACTAGATACCATTCAGCTATCCACTTTCTGCACCATTTCATAAATGTCCAAGTTATTTTCAAAGGCTGATTTAACATTGCAAAAAGTGACTCACAAGCTAACTCTGTCTAGAAAGCAACTCAAGTATAATTCTCAGGGACATGTGTCATATTGGCCTGGCCACTGGTTTCTTTTGGAATATCTAAAATAAATTGGATTGGGTGATGAGTGATGATGATGCTCCTATTAAGCTTTGGGAGGACGTTTAAGAGGAATCTTCCTTAGTTTCCATAATTTCCCCTTGACAACTTTTATTCCATTCAGAGTCCTCACGATAGTATGACTTTGAATTCTTTTAAAACATGAGCAACATAGAAGATAGGGAATTACAGTCAAAGTGTGCTTTTACTCTAAAACCTACTCATTTATCTAGCAATCCAAATAAGTGAATTGGGACTATGTATTTATCTGATATGTTTTTTATGTAGCATTCTTTCAATTTCCTACTCCTTCTCCTAATCATCAGAGGTTTCTCCTATTTCCAAGTCCCCTCAGAAGTCAAGTCTTATTGTTCACATAATAGTGCTTGCACAGTTCAACTTCAGAAACAGTTGGCCACTTAATTTTGCACTACATTGATTACTGATATTGCATACAGATTTTCTATGGAGCAATTCTTTTGCAGTTTTCAAGATCATTGGGTCTGCCCTACTAGGAGCAAGGTTTGATGGTTCATTACATAGATCCTAGTGAAAACAAGGAAACCAGAATTTTGTGCTAATGTTCAGTTCATTCAATCGTTTTTGGTCCACCTGGTTGAAGTAGAAGACATACATCTTTAGATGGCACCTCTTTGGCTTTAAAATATCTTGGAGCAGTATTTTGTTACGGCTTGTTTTGTATTCTGATCATGGTTATTTCAAGGGTGTTGTCATTCATGATGTGCAGAGATTGGACAGCCTTGACAACCCTTCCTGTCTTGTATAATTATTATAGATTATAGATATGAACGGTGACAGAATATATTAATTTAAAGCAACAAAATGAGCTGAAGCTATCACAAATTCAGTTGAGATTCCTAAACTTGATTGTATGGCAGCAGTATGGTAAGTTGATTGCTCAAAAACCAACATGAATTCATAAAAAGTTGATTTTAGATTGCTTACACTGACAAATAAAGGCACTTCAACCATTGTAATTTGTAAATTGCAACACATAGAAATAACATTAGAAAAAAAAAATGAAATTAGAATACCTTGTCCCAACCATATTCATTCCACACAAGAGACAAGTCATCAGCAATTTTGAAAGGGCCATTTTCATAAAACAAAGCCAATTCACTACTACACCCAGGTCCCCCTGTCAACCAAATTACAACAGGATCTTCCTTGCTGTTGCGTGATTCAAAGAAAAAGTAGAACATCCTGCAGCACCAAACAATCATAAGAAGAAACAACTATCATAATATACTCACTGACCAAATCGACAATACACCCAAATATTATAGAGCATAAAATAGCTACATAATATCTTATGCAGTGAATTTTGAAATGTACAAGGTCATGAAAATGATAGACAACTATTTATTTACCAAACGGACATAATCATAATCTCGCAAATAATTTTGGGACTTGATATACAATAACCATAAAAGTGGCAACATGTGTTGCTTTGACCGTTGTAAGTTCACATATATACAAATTGATTCTCAAAATCAGAAGTGTCAACTTGACAGACAAGTCTTCAACTTGTAAACAATTTTTTACTTCAAAGGATTGATAGTATGGACAAAAATTTTCAGGGATCAAAGCAACACAAGTTGACACTTTTTAAAGGACTATATTTCATATTAACCCAAAATTTTATAGTGAAACAGTGCTATTTAATATGGCAAAAGATTTCACAAAAAAGAAAACCACAAAGATGTATGAATAATAAAAGAAAAGTAAAAAGGTAACCCATCTATATATAGTAAAATAGAGTGCAAACATCTAATTTACTCTCTTAATCCTTAAGACACTAGACATCATTGTTATTTCTTACTTCAAAGGTTTGCGATAAACAACCATAACTCTAAAAGATTTACTATCTTGAAAATATAAAAGTGAAATGAATTTTTTAATAGAAAATTACTATTTTTAGTTGCTTAAAATCAGCTTTAAGACTTAAAGGTTAACAAAATCATTAAAAAAACACTCAAATTATTAATTACTATCAAATTTTCTTTTTTAAGTTAAAATTTATTTTTTACTTTCTCAAATCTTCACAATGTATTATCTTAAACTATTTCCTTTTAAATTTCCCTTTTTACAGTAATATTTTCTCTTTTTCCAAATTTTAACTGCTCATTCAAATTCTCATAAATAAATTATACATATTCTTTTTATAATTTTAAATACTTTTTTTTTTATCTATAACTTTCAAATTATATCTAAAGTCTAAACAACTTATACATATCTGTCTTACAATTTTAAATATGTCAACATACAATTTAATCCAAAATATTAGCAATATACATTGTTTTGGTCCCCCTAAAGTTTTCATCTACAGAATTTAATCCTTTGAGCGATGAAATCGTTTGCCAGCTAACCACTTAGTATCGTAAACTTGTTGGCAAGTCTGACAGTTTGACACTTTCAAAAATCAAGTTTTATAGGCATGGGGTCAAAGCAATAATAGTTAAGAGCTAACCGTTTTAGGAACCAAATTGTATATTAATTTTTTAAATACTTTTCTTTTTATTGATATTCTTAATATTTTACATAACTCTGTCTAATTAACAAGTCTTAAAGATACTACTTAAGGAGCATTAACACAACCTATAAAATATTTTCAATTATGAATACTTTATTTTAATTTATTTTTAATCAATGCTCCAAAGCACTCATGTTAACATCTTCAATAAAAGGATTTCAGTCCTTTAAAGGTGAGTATTTCGAGTAAGAAAATAAAGGGCCTTATCCATTAGGTAAGTCAGTTAAATGAATTAAATAACTCTACTAAACTCAATCACAAAACTAAATTTTTAGAAATATTATTTACTTAATATTAATTAAAGTATTTCTTAAATATGATTTCAGTTTCTATATTTTTATAAGTTATTTTATTTTAATCCAAATAACTTTAATCCCTCAAAAGTTTATTTTTATGATTTTAGTCCTTGACTTTTCTAGAATTAACACATTTGATCTCTATTGAACCGTGGACCATTAAATGATGATGTGGCTAATAAAGATACTATCACGTGCAGATTATTTGTGTGGCCTCATCAGTAAGAGGAACCGGGATCCTGTGCAATAACTCCAACTTGCAGTTAGTTATTTTTCCATTTTTGCTTAAGCGAGAAATTTTCTGTAAGATGAAAGTGTTTATAACACCAACTGCAAAGTGCAGTTGGCACAAAAAAATGCAGAGGATCCCAACCCTCGGTAGGAGAGACCAAAATACCTAAATCCTAATCATATGGAGACCAAAACTATAGAAAACAACATTAGTATGATTAAAATAAAACATTCATGAAAATGCAAGGATTAAAAATATATTCAAGAGAAGTTATTTGGGATGAAGGTATTAGAAGCAAAGGGAAGGAAAGAAAAAATTTATAATTTAAATAAATATATTTTAATTTAATAATTTTTCAGAATAAAAGATATAAAATAATAAATTAAAATAAATTTATCGTATTAATTATTTATTATTATAAATAATATATAATTTATTAATTTAAAATTAAAAAATTTATTCTTTCCTCTCCTATCTTCAAATCTCCTTTCTAAAAAAACCTCTTATTCTAAAGAGAATAAATTTTGATTAAAATATAAATTTAGTTCCTATAATTAATCCTCATTTAGAAATTATTTATTGTAATAAAAAATTCATTTAGTTCTTCTAAGAGTACTTCATTGAGCTTTGCTCACATGTCTAACTTAATAAACAATAATATTTTCTAATTAACAAAATATTCATATGATAATTAAAATGTAATTTTTTAAAAATAGAAATTAATTCGTAAATATGCGTGAATTATAACGTGTATTTTAACCATAAATTTCTCAATCACTTTAGAGTCAAATTCATTTGCAAATAACCATCTCCTTATTAGCTACTACTTCAAACAAAACAACTGGCCACGCCCATTGCATACAAGTTAAAAATATAACTAAAATACGAGTTTAGGGTTCATTTTATTCAAGTTAACGATAGAAGCAGAAATTAACCGAGAAATGAAGCGCAAACCTTGCGGCGTGTGAATGTTGAATAGGGTAATACCCAGCGTAGTGACCCAAATCCTCAACGGAAACCCCCGAATCAGAAGCTATTAGGTTGGGGAACCTGAAGCGCTTCTCAACGATCTTGCGTGGTTGGATAGAAGAAAAATTGGCAACGGAAATGACGTTGACATCGTCATCGGGGAACAAATTGAGGTCTCTGATGAGGTTCTTGGCATGGAGCGTCACGCGAAGTTCATCATCGGAGGCAGAAGATGATGGCGCTGAGAAGAGAAGAAGAAGATTGCAGAGGAAGATTAACATCGAAATGGAAGAATGCCCCATTGTTTGTTCGAACTTGGTAGACGGAGTGAAGACACACTGCTCCCTTAGAAATCACTCACTTGATCGTTTACTTTTATACGGTCTTCAACGTGACGAGTGATCGTTGTTTTCTCAGCTCACGGACGATCAAAACTTTAACACGTGTTATCTGCTCTTCAGAGATTAAAATCAAATAAATTATGAAAATTTAAAATACAAAAATAAATTGAAAATTTTAAAAATAGAATATCTAATTATAAAAATCGCATATTATGAAAAAGAGAACTAACGTCTCAAAGTTCTTCATTTAATAATTAAGACTTACAAATTATATATATAAAAAAACATTATTACAATACATATTTTAATTATTAATAATAAATATTGTATTAAATTAAATAAAAAATTAAAAAAATAAAATTAGTTTATAAAAACACATCTCTTCCTTAAAAATAAGTATATTAATATTTCCTTTGATCCTTCTTATAAAAAATAAAAAATTAAATTATCAAAATTAAAAAAATAATTAAATTAATTATATTTTTCATAAATATAAATTTTATTTTAAGAATACTCATGATATTAAATAATGTAGTTAGTAATTTATATATTTAATGATACTAATAAAAAAATTAACAATTAATGCATTTTGAATTTATTATTTATTTTTTATAATAAGAAAAAAATATTTTATTTTGTTTATTGTAAAAAAAGAATGGAGGTAAAATTTAATTCCCAATAAAAAAATTTGAAAAATTAATTTGAAACATAGGATATGTATGTATGATTCAAAAGCAACTTTCAACTACAGACAAATCTAAGCGTTAATTCGAACATCATGAAACATATAGTCTTGATATGTATTTTACCAAAGAAATGAGTGTACACTACAAACCTCTAACCCACCTAATAAAATATATAAATGGTACTATTTCCTACACTAAAGAAATGAAGCTACACTCCTGCTCTTCTATTACCAAAGGACATAGCCACCACAAATTGACTACTCATAAGCAATATCCTCCTCCTTTGCGTCCATCATCTTTGGATCTTCTGAAAAATAATTCAAACTCATTATTTCTTTGCCCACTTCAAAACATTGTAAAAATAATTTTCTTATATAAAAATTGTTAAAGCTTCAAGATACAGCAAGTTCATGATTAATAATTTGTTTCAAAGACACGGTCTCTATTCAAGCTCCAAGTTTACACTAAAATAACAAGAACTAATTAAGAGATTTTAGAAACTTCATTTTTCAAGTATACAACCCTTGAACTCAAGTTTAAACAATATAATTGAAAAAAATGTTTATATGAAAAATTAGAGTCTCAACTATTAATTTAAAACAATAAGAAAAATGCTAACAATTTTTTAATATAACTAAAATTTATTAAAAATTACAAAAGTATAAAAAGAAACATTAATTTAAGAATAAAAAAATATAACTCACATAATTTTTTTAGTTTTTAATAAATTTGTCTAATTAAAAGTATATTGAAAAGTGTGTTAAAAATTACGTAGTTAAAATATAATTCATATTGAGAATAGTAATTAGCCCTCTAATGATTACTTTGCATCGTCACTCTCGTAACCTGGCCAGAAATATAAGCACCCATTGCTTATATAAGATACTGTCGATTATGGGGGGGAAAAAAAGACCCTCTTTATAATGAAGGGTTTTGATCGGAGAAGAGCCAACTTGTAGTACTCATTTAAGTAACTTTAAAAAATTACATTTAAGAAAAAAAATTTGCTTGAATTGAGAATACAAAAAAAAGAGATAATGTGTTACTGTAGGACTCATAAATTAGTAAAATAAAACATAAGTAACTTGGAAAAGCAGCACCATTGAAAATGTTCTTGAATGTCCATTTTAATGCATTTTCTTTGAGAATTTAGTCTTCCAAATCTTGGGATTTTACATTTTAATCCTTCTTCTATTCTGTCAGGCTCAAGTCATAGTTTTAAGATTTCAAGCCTCATCTTCTCAGTGTCTTCACAAAAATGTCGACCAATAAAAAAACAAGTCTTCACAAAGTAGTTTTTCCCACTACCCTTTTTTTTATTAATTTTACCAACCTTAAATTTTTTAATAAATTTTATATTTCAAACCGTCCCTATATATGAGAAAAACATACTTATTATTAATAACTTCCAGCATTTTATTTCCTAAACACAATCAAAACAGTATTTAGAAATTTAGTTTTGAAATATATTCTTAAACACTTACGAAATTTAACCATTAAATATGTTCTCAATGTATTATTATCCTCAACAAAGGGCCTGTGGATGCCACTTGGAATACGCAAGACAATGATAAATTGATAAAAATGCACCACAAATATTAGCAGTGTGTTATTATATATTGAACCCATTATCTTATTGACACAAGTATAAGGTGAGGCAAACTAGTTTATACATAGTGTAGATAACGGTTTGGAACCAGTAAATCATTACATGAACATCCTCTAGTGCAGGTTACCTGGTCCTGAATGGAGCTGGTAAGTCCTGCTCGGAACAACTTGAAGAACACCAGGTTGCTCTGCAAATGAGCAGAAACATCAAATCATGGACAAAAGAACACATACATGGAAAAAGGAGATGATGTTGACCATACAATTAAAATTGAAAGTCAAGATTGGTGATTGAGTAAGTAAACTCTCAAATTAGTTCTTGAGATTATCAACATTAGTTCCTAACTTTTTAGTGAAATAATTTTTTGCAAAGATAGGAACTAAATTGGGGTTTAGAAAAGCCAGGACTACAGTGACCGATTCGAACTGGTATAAGAGTTTATTCACTTAGTATTTATAATATTCAAAATAAACAAAAAAGATGTGACAATGATCATATGATAGAGATAAAAGAAATACAGACTTATATTTACAACAATAATGATAATGTAGTGTTTGGTTCAAAGGAAGGAAGAAGAGTGGAGGGATTTTAATGGAGGGGGGAGACACCTTGTTTGGTTAAGAAAAAAAGAGGGGAGAGGAAATGAACGAATTTACTACTAAATACTTAAGATGGTCAAATATACCTATTTAGTTAATGATGATTTTGTTAAATTAATCTAAAAATTTCTCTCCCCTATGGATCCTCCCACTTTTGAAGGAAGTTAAATATTGAATTAGGAAGAATTTATACGGTAAATATGGTCTATGGATCAAATAGAGGCTGAGATAACTGAAGAGTCAACAACTGATTAATAATACACAGAGAATGAAATACTTTTACATATATATGGAAAATTAGAGTTGCAAAATGTAAACAGTTCACAGTTCAACACTCCAATCACACTTGTTCCCACATTCACTCCCCAAACTTAGCATCCTTAAACTAAGGAGCACTCAACCAGTGGTTTCTTATTCTAAAATATTAGATTAAAATTTGAATTCTTGACTTCATACCCCTAGATAAAATAACAATGATTCCAATAAAGGCAGGATTCACAAAGATGAAACTCTAGGAAAGTTCTTTCAGGACTCGAAATCTTTAGATTGTCATGATTGCAATGGAACAACTTTTCAGAGCAAAGGAGGGAGGAATCTGGAAACTACATTTTCTTTGAAACACACATGCAGAGCTAAGCTATCCCACAAAATAAAAAACTCATAAGAAGCAAGAGCATCATGAAAACCTGATGAACTGGATTGAAAATAAGAATATGGTTCCTGAGTTTCTATTAGTTGAATATTTGAAACTCTTTTCACTAGATTTCAAAGCATAAAGGAACATCTTAATAGTGTTCCCCAAAAATCTGAAGGCACTACTAACATATGACTACAAAACTACCAAAAATTGGTCTGCCATTTTATATTAAAAGCTTGCTTGACCAAGGTTGTTCAGGAAGAAAAGCAAATGAATAAGAGAAATAGGAAAACAAATGGTTTCAATCAGCTTATTTTAAGTTTTCCCAAAATCTGATCAAAATGGGGTATAGCAAGCGTTCAGCTAGAAAAACTGATTCTGCACAAAATTTAAGCCAAATGATAAATATATGTTGCTTGCTCTTGTGGGGTTGGATTCAAATCAGTGCTGTCATGGAAGTAAACAAATTGATACTTGTCAAAGCCATTTCACAAATTAAGTCATATCATGACTCACAAGTGTTTAACTAATCCAAGATCAAACTACTCAACTCCAAACCAACATGATTAAATTTTTTCAAAAGAATCTATTTCTAAACATTAACAATAATCACACTACACACTGCTATAAATCAAAACAAACGAACAAGATACCAAAACACAAATCTTGCTTAGATGCAAACATAACCGATTAACATAGAAGAACCACAATACACCAGGGAATTTAAAAAGACTAAAAAACATTAAACAAGCCATATTACATCAGGGAGTTTAAAAAGGCCGCGAGAATGACTAATAAAAAAATCAAACTTACTTGAAATTTGATCAACTTGCTCCGGAGTAAGCTTAGCAGAGAACCCACTAGCTGCAGACTTGTAACTATACAACAAAGCTTCCTTTGCAGCCTCCTCACTGCAACCATTAATCAATCACACAATTACCCAAAAGAAAAAATAAAGATCAAATTCAAGTTTCACCAAAGAAAACTTCAACAGAAGACAGAATAATTCTCAAAAATGAAAAAGTTAAACTTCATTCCCTAGAAAAAAAAAATAGTGACGTTATTCTTTCTATTAATTAAAAAAAAAAGCCTCATAGAATTATGAAAAAGTAAATCTTGAAAAGAGGCTTTTAAATAAAGGGATTAATTTAAAGCCAGTAAAAGAACTTCTAAGATTTTTAAACCAACATAAAATGTAGAACAATCACTTGATTCGATCACTCAATCCAATATAATTCCAGAAGAATATAAAATTTCCAAATAATCTTTCAAAATTACAAACCTTTAACACTTCAATCCTTTAGGCATTTTCTCTCCATTTTAGCACATGATTAATACTAAAGAAAAGTAAATCTTGTACAACTTAATGCTGATAAAACCATTAGTAACTCGAATTGGTCCCTAAGAAACTTAACTTGCATCTTCTACCAACTTAATTAAAACCATTAGTAACTCAAATTAATCCTTAAAAAAAATGTTAATTTCTATCCCATACCAACTTAGTGCAGATAAAACAATTAGTAATTCAAATTGGTCCCAAAGTGTTTAACTCAGCCAGATCGAAGGACTAAAATGTCTCACGAATATATCAAAAGGTTATTTTTGCATAGACCAAAATCGAATCGCACGAATTTCACGGAGCAAAACGCACCTGCCAAGAACCGCAGAGAGGGTTCGGATGTGGTAAGCCTCAGGTTCCTCATTTTGAGGCCTCTCAGTGTAGACGATGTGAACCGCAGGGGAAGAACCGGAGGCGTGCTGGTCGAGGGGTTTGGCAGCGGAGTCCGACATGGCGATGCAAACCAATGCTAAGAAAACGAGGATAACGAGAGATTGAGGTTTTGAGAAACCAAGGTTGGTTGTGCTTATCATTATCATTCTTGTTCGGTTCTGTTTTCGCGTTTTATAAGGAAAATAAAAATAAATTGGATTTAGTATTCACACGAAGATTTTTCAAAGTTGCAAAGAAACCAATGGTACTTTTGCTTAAGTACGAAGCGAGTTATGAGTTGCGATTGCGATAACACGTTGTATTGGTGTCAGGGCCTGCGTGTTCCACTTGGTCATAACCTTATCTCATATAGGGAGTTGAATTTCTTGTAACAAAATTTAGGTATATAAGTAATTTTAAAATTATTTTAAATTAAAATTTTATTTTTATTTTTTAATATTTTTTTATCAAATTTCCTATGCTACCGCGTATATGATGTGCATGCAATGTACAAATATGTAATTGTATTTATTATTTAAAATGACTACACTACCCCATATATAACTAATATTTTTTTTAATCATAAAAATATGAATTTGAGATGGTAATTAAAACAATAATAATTAAATTCAGCGTTTTGTAATGAATTGTGAAGAAAGTTGTGTTTATGGTGAAAAATGATAATTTTGTAAACAAATAATCTAAGAGCAATCTAGAGACTGGATTAAGTCTTCTTTGGGTTCTTTTAAGTGTGTCGTTAACGTAACAGTAAAATGAACGTTTTAGAATAAATAATTTAAAAAGAATAGTGAATATAAAACGCGTAAAACTGAATCATAACGTAAAGGTTCTTTGCAAAAAGTGCTAAATAGGAAATAAATTGCAGAAACAAGAATTAAATTGCGTACAAGGAAATAAGCAAAAGGAACATAAATTAAAATGCGGAAGGGTAAATGTGCAGGAATGTAAACGTACGACTCCTCACAATAGCGAACAGCGGCCACCGTAAGTCTCCTGGTAACTGGTGTCTGGCGCGGTGTAGGATTTCAACGTGCAGAGATTTTAGGTACGGTATCAGGGTGCAAAAAGTCGTTTCCTGTAAAATGACACTTTAGAGTATTTATAGGCAGGAAGACCACCACCGTTTTCTTCCTTTTGCGGGCACTTCTTAGTAACTACATTCAACTGTTGATGCACATTATCCACGATTACTTGTGATCGTGTTGTTTGTGTAACACCCCAAATTTTGTAATATTAATTATTAATAATTATATAAATCTAAATGTATATTTGTGTATGTATTTTTAAATATATGTTGTGAATATGTATATATATGTAGATGGGTGTATGTATGACTAGTTGGACTGAAATAGGCTAAGTGCCTAAGTACAGGGCAAGATACTAGGCTGTTCTAGCTGCAACAAGAGGATTCTTGCTGTAGCGAGAGGGCCCTAGGAGGAAGAACCAGAACTATCGCCTTCTCGCTATAGCAAGAGATGTCTCGCTGTAGTGACAGAGCGACAGTTTGGGGTGCATTTCTGGATGTAGTCTCGCTGTAGCGAGAGGGCCTCACTGTAGCGAGATTCTGCAAAAACCATAGTGCTGTTTTCTCTGATTTTTTCGCTATAGCGAGAGGACGTGTAGTTGCAGCGAGAGTGTCATGACCAGAAATGATTTAAAGGGATTAGGGTTTGGAGAGAGTTATTTCTCCCTCTCCCTTCAATTCTCTCATTCCCCAAAGCCCTTTTTCCATCGATTAATTCCCTCCAAAGCCATTCGGGAGCAAGATTGAATCTCGAATTCGTGTGGGGAACGCTTGGAGGTGAGTTTTAAATGGTTAGGGTTTACGTTTTTCTTCCCTTTCTCTATTCTGGGTGATTCTCGGGGTTCTCATGGAATTCTTCCATGTGTTTAGGCCGAAAACCGTGTGGGGAGCAGTTCCGTGGTTGAGTTCGAACATGGGTCTTCAATCCAAGGTAAGGGAGGACTCTACCCTACTCTTGTATGTGTGATTTGCTATGTTTTGTGGAATATTGTGGTATGGCCGAGTAGAAGGTAGGAAATTGCTGTGAAATATGATGTGGGCCATGTGCCGTGACATGTGATTTATTTGCTAAAGGTTGTATGATAGGATGAGCGCTTGTATGCTTAGCATTGTGAATGAATATTGTGAAATGTGGGCCCGAGGGTCGTGTAATATGATTGAGTGTAGGCTATGTGCCGTGTGCTATGAAAATGAAATATAGGCCTTGTGCCGTGCAACTGTGAAATGCGTGCTATGTACTGTTAAATGTGGGCTATGTGCCATATACTGAAAGGTGTGTGATTGGGGCGTGTAACGCCATTGTAATGTGCTGTGAATGGTTCAACAATACACTGGGGCTGTGGGAGATGAGGATGGTAGAAATACCTTGGGGAAGAGAGAGTGGTGGTGACATCGACTGTGGAACGAGTTCACCACAGGCCACACACTCTCTTCCTGACTAAACCTCTGACCATTATCTTTACTAAGCGACCTGTGACTGCTCACGTGGTATCCGTGAGGCGGGGGTAATTGGCGACCATTCATGATGTAAATCTGTGATCACAGTGTCAATGTGAGTGTGGCTGACGTGTGTATGCATGGGTTCATGAATTGTACTTATAGATGTGATAATGTTGCCTGTACTTGTATTTGTTTAATGTATTGGAAATATGCTGAAGGTGAGACTTTATGCTTAATTGTATGTTTTGGTAGTGTAGAGTACTCACTCTTACATTCATTTTTCAGGTAATCAAGACGATAAGCATCAAACTCAGTGAAATGGGTGGATGAAACTGCTATAGGACTAGGATTTTAATTTGAGACTAATGTATTTGAATGGGTCCTGTAGTAGTGACTTGATAGAAATTGTAACCCCTTTTCCTTATTTTAAAATATTTGATGAAATTTGGATTAAAAATAGAAGTTTTATTATTTCAAAAATTTGCAAAATTCCTTATTTATTTAAAAAATAAATAAATTTAAGGTGTTACAGTTTGGTTGGGGCTTCTTTCGTAACAACTATCGTCCACGATCTCTTTTGCGTAGTGGTGAATGTTGATGACTGATGGTAACCACTTTTGGATTTTGCAATGACTTGACCTATCAAGACTTTTTGTTTTTCTATCTTTTAAGTGTTTCTGGGAGAAATCTAAAAGGCTCATTTGGTGTTATGGCCTTAGAATAATTTCTCCTTGACTTATCTTTTCGATTAATTCTGGAGTTTTGAAAGCTTGTATTGGTCTTGTGGACTTAGAATATTTTCTTTGCTCATTTCAGTTTTTCGAGCAATTCTGGAGTTTTGAGACCTTGTCTTGGTCTTGTGGACTTAGAATATTTTCTTCGCTCATTTCTATTTTTCAAGTAATTCTGGAGGGACTCTAGAGCTCAACTAGGTTGGCAGACTTAGAATATTTTCTGACCACTTCCTGTTTTTCGAGTAGTTTTGGGTGTCAGGGGCTTGGAAACTCCTCAAAACTCCTCGAAAAGGCCATCAGTTTTGTGGACTTAGAATATTTTCTTATCAGTCCTATTTTTTGAGTAGTTTTGGGTGTTAGTGACTTGGAAACTCCTCAAAAATCCTCGAAAAAAGCCTTTAATTTTGTGGACTTAGAATATTTTCTTGTTAGTCCTATTTTTTGAGCAGTTTTAAAGGAAAATCAACGAGGAGACAAAAACATCTAAAATAGCTCGAAATGTGTCTATTTTTATATAAAATAAAAAAGTCTTGGATAACTTTCTAATACTTCTCAAGTTTAGACTTATTTTTAGGCTCCTTCCTGACCCTCAACATTTTGTCGAAATGTAGTTTCCTTCAACATGATTTTTAACTTAGAAAATTTTTCTTACGCCAAACAGATGCCCCCAAAATATTAATATCTCAAGTTTATGAGATTTTAATATTTTTTTATATATTTAATTGGAAAATTTTTGTTTTTTAAATTATATATATATATATATATATATATATATATATAGTGTAATTTAGCATAAGAAGCTCACAAATAGATTTTTGGGCATTTTGAACTCAAATTGGTTAGAAATTAGAGTTTCGCAGCAGTAAGCATGTCCAAACCTTATAAGCAAGCATATGGGTGTTTTAAGCCCATGCACGGCCGTGCTCAAATATGAAGAAATTTCAGGGTTTTTAAATTCTATTAAAAAGATACCTCAAATATCTTGTTCTACATCTTGTCTTTAATCTATGATACACCTCTCATCTCTCTATTCTGCTCCCGATCCTTTGGCATACTTTTGACGAGACTTAGAGTTTCGAGCAATCGTACTTAAAGACCGAAAACTCGTATTATCTCTAGTTTACTATTTCTCTTTATTATGGTTTTGTTTATGATTGTTTTAATTCTTCTCTTTAGCATGAGCAACTAAATTCATAGCTAGAGCTATACGAATTCTTGTTCATAAACTAAGTCAATAGCCATTGTCGGGGATTGTCTTTCTAATATTAAGAAAATCTCATATTTAATTGATTTGAGCAATTCTTATTTTATTTTATTTTAATTATTTGTTTTGTTTATTTTAGTTTTAATTTTGTTTTGTCTATTCTCATAATTTTTTATTATTTTTGTTTTAATTTTTTATTAATTTATAAAAAAAATTCTCTAGTGTATGCTCATACGTTCTAAGTCTCCTATAACTTGCTTATGTGATCCAAAAATTGAAAGAACTATGCAAAGGCAAAGAAAGGAGTTGAGATGATAAAGAATGACAAAAAAAGGAGATCAATTCAAGATTGCATGACACCCACTGCAAGAGGTGCTTCTAGAAGCATTGTTGCCTATGTGGAGGCCAACAATTTTGAGCTAAAGTCGACATTGATAACTATAGTCTAGAACTATACACAGTTTGGAGAAATGCCTTATAAAGACCCCAATCTCCATATGACAAATTCATTCGGCTTACAGACACCGTCAAATATAATAGGGTCACTACTAATGCCATTAAGCTTTACCTTTTCTCATTCTCTGTCATAGAAAGGTAAATGTATGGTTTGTCACGCTTCTAGCAAGTTCTATCACAACATAGGAAGATTTGACTCAATAATTTTTGGGAAAATATTTTCCCCCATCTAGTTCTACCAAGCTGATGCTAATATATTAAATTTCCAGCAACACGAGTCAGAATCTCTATTTGAAGCGTGAGAACGATTTGAAGAATTATTGAGGAGGTGTTCTCATCATGATTTTTCTATGTGGAGACAGATGTAAATTTTTTACAGTGAATTATCA